GGCACGATGCACGTTAATACTTTATCCAACCGCATTATGAATTACTGCAGTTTTTTTCATACAATTTTTTTTGGATCACTACATTTGAAATTAAGGGATATACATAAACAAAATACTTCACTTCGGAAAATTTAATCCGTTAGAGCTAATAAATTAATTAAAGATATTCCACTGTAAAATTAATTATATATACCGTTCACTTAAAATAAGTAGTCAAATAATTTTCTAAGGTTTTCATCAACATACAAAAACATAAGACACTTAAATTTTGACAAACTATTTTTTCCGCTAAAATACTCATCATGGAACCCGTGCTGCTATATATCTTGGAAGAGTGGATTTCAAAAAATATTCCTGCTAAGTATTGGTAGAATATTCCTTCTAAGTTGGTGTGGTGTGGTAGTTAGGAGAAGAGGGTGCCAGTCAGGTGTCGTCCACGTCACTTGACCATGGTTCAAAATTACGTGATCCGTTGCCAAAAGCCCTCATGTAGCTGAACAGTGCGACGTTAATATTCACTCGTTCCAAAAAAATACAGTACAGTAGTTTTAATTATTTTTATACTTAAAAATGCAATATCTGCCTATTCAATTAAAATTATAGCGTTATAATTAACTACTAACCACAAACAAATTTTGAAAATTTGTCCAAATGATGCAGTGTGAAAGAGAAAGTTTATTTACTTTAAGTATCAGAACTGATAAAAGCATTTATATTTGGAAAAAAGAGCAATTTCTTACTACCAAATATACATAATAAAATGTTTAAAAAAAACATTAAAATAAAGAGAGATTTATAACAACCTCTCCCTTCAAAACTTAATTTGATTCTAAAATAAAAAAAAAATAGGCATTGTATCAGAGGAATTAATTAGAAGCGAGCACCTTACGTAGCCAAAACAAAAAAAGGTTTTTCACAAACAAAAGATAGATATATGCTGACGTGGGCTTTTTTGCAGCGCATGCCAGAATTGCTAGCAGATGACAGAATTTTTTCCTACTTACTTGACAAATATCGTTATATTTTGGACACTTCATACAATATCTTTATAAGTTATAGTCTATGCTATAAATTATAGCCTATGTGCTATTCTGATGTATAAGCTATATTACTGTAAAGTTTCATTAATATCCATTCAGTAGTTTTTGCGTGAAAGACCCACAAAGATATTCACAAACTTTCGCATTTATAATATATATTAGATACCAAAAAATTATAACAACATTTCTATTAGCAACACATTTTTTTTCAACATTTGCTTTCTTAATTTTATTTTCTTATGAAGAAATTGTCAGTACAATTGGAATATGAGGGGGCGAGTGTTTGTTAACATCGTGTTATAAAGCAACACGAGAACTATTGGCGACAGACCTTGTAATTTTGAACCATGGTCAAGTGACGAGGAAGACATCTGAGCTACCCTTTTCTCCGAGATTCCACACCACACCAACGAGAGGACTTAAAACATCGAGAGATTTAACGTGCAGACATCGACGCTTTTAACGTACATTTGTCTTCTTTACACGATGGGTCTATAGTTGCACTTGGCTCGAACTCATGTCACCCGAGCCCCGAGAACGTGACATAGACTACAAGTCTATCGCGACCACCGGAATATGAGGGGAGATAGGCATTTAAATCCCTTTTTACAAACTGATTGGATGTTTATTTACGTGAAGTTTATTTTCCCCTGAAGAAGGCTATTGGAGATTGGCAAGGGCTATTGGACCTTGTAGTTTTGAACCATGGTGGCGAAGAAGACGTCCCCTCTTAATTACCAAAACCGGAGGACATAGAGCCTCGCATTTAACAGGCATCGAACCGCTCTATACTTTGGATATTTAGTCACGTGGCCAAGGTTCAAAACTACGAGGTCCTTCTCCTGTAGTTCTCGTAGAGCCTTAGTTAGTGAGTGTTGATTAGTTTCACAACAAAGGAACATGAGGGCTATTGGAGGAATTCCCAAGCGAACCCGAAAGGGACTTAGAGCTAAAAACGATCCCTCGAGAACCCCCCCTCCATGTTCAGTATTTTTTAAACAAAATTTTTGTTTACATTTCTTACAGTAGCACACATTAAATTTACATGTTGCAAATTAAAGATAAATTAACAAAATACAAATGTAATTACAAGGAACAAACATACAAAGCTGAAAATAATAATAAAAAACATAATGGGTAAGAGAAAAAAAATATACATTATTCGAGCATCCTTGCAATTACGTCAAAAGTAATAAAAATATAAAATTCAAATTCACCGAACAAAAAAAAAAGGCAGGAAAAATTTGGGGAAACAACAACAAAACAAAAAATAACTTTGTGACCACATAAGAGTATTCATCCAATCCCATCTACGAAATTTGATCCCGTGGTATAGAGGCAATTTTAATACATGATTTTAGTTTAGAGTGAATAGAAAGATTTCTAATGACATATGGAACTAGAGATTTTTAGCATTATGAGAAGGAGACCAAGTGATAATACATAATACATGCGAATACATGATGGTCAGCATCCTCAACAGACTGTTGGGGACCACAAAGACAATAGGGAGTACCTTTTAATTTAAAAAGATCCAAATAAGAAACAAATGGGACATGATTTGTAAAGAATTGCTGATGTAACTAGAATGGGGATTGATATCGAAGCTGGGTTTGGGAAATAAGGATTTGATTCGAAAGCCATTATTAGAGTTTGACCACCAACTCTCCTAGTTCTCAGTTAATCTATTTTGGAGGGCAAAACATGGGGGCCAACGGACGTCGTAATTTTGAAACCCTTTCAAGTGACAAGGACGACACTTGAGCTAGTACTCCCTTCTTCTAACTTCCACGCCACGTTAACGGGAGGACTTCGAGCTTCGACAGATTTAACAGGCATCAGCTCCTTCACGCAGCGGGTCTTCAGTGGTTGAGGGTCGAACTCATGACACGCCATCCTTGATTCGATAACCTTGGCCCCTAGGTTATCACACATGAAAATCAGTAAAATGACACTAAATTTGAAAAAACAATATTTGAAGTAGTTTTACGAGTTTCAAGTATTTCATCCATAATTAAACAATATAATTTTTTTGACATTTATTAAAAAATCTCAGCTACAGAATATAACAATTCTAATACTATTACTAATTCTAGTATTTTTTTATGTTATTATTTTATGAATGAGTGAGTGAAGATTAACGTCGCACTTTTCAGCTACTCGAGGGCTTTTGGTGATGGATCACGTAATTTTGAACCATGGTCAAATGACGTGGACGACACCTGAGCTGTCACCACCTCTCCTAACTACCACACCACACCAACGGGAGGACTTTTCAGCTCTCGACAGATTTGACGTGCATCGCTGCCCTACACGGCGGGTCTTTATTTGTACTGGGCGCGAACTGATGACATGCCTGCCATGATCCGATACCTTGACCACTGGGCTACCGCAGCCCTCATTTTTTTATGAAAAACGAGATTGTTACTTATTCCAGTCTGAAAATAGGGGGCGGTAGGCCTAAATGCGGCGGGATGCCGCCAATAAAATTAATGTCGATAACATTCATGAGAGAGAAATAAAACCTTAATCCATAACAAACAAATATTTATTATGATTAACATAGGTAAACAACAATAACAAATTAATAATGAATTTAAAGGTAAGTAGTATTAGACAAAGAGGCACTTTAAACAATGGAACACATTCTACGACGTGACGATTGGGAGAGTACGTCCACTCGGTATGAGAAAACTCGTAGAAGTGATGAGTTGTAGGGGGCGCGACCAGCGACAATAGCGGGGGAGTACAAGTTACAAACACAGTCATCATTGCTAATAACTACACGTTTTATTTTTTTAAACAAAAATATTAATATATTTTGTTTACAAAAAACTCTTTTGCCTATTAACTTAATTTTATTGTCTCTATTCATCAACAAGTCACACACACAGTTATTATAAAAGCAAATGTACTAATGTACACATATATTTTTTAAAAAAAACTTCTTATTTTTGTGTAATTATAATTTCTGTTAAAATAAAAATATTTAATATCCACATGAATTCTCTCTAAGAAATTCATTTCAAAATGTTGAAAAATAAAACTACTGCGCAAAATGTAATTCAATCCGCTAGATGACACACTCAGATGGTTACTAGCCTATATATTCGACTTTCTCTTGCAATTTTAAACCTATTTTCAAGAAATAAAATGTTCTCGAGGGTAAAAAGGAAAGAATAAAATACTCTCCCGTTAGTCAAAAATCTTAATTTTTCAAAGCAGCCCACTTTTGCAATCAATTTTTCTTCTTAAGAAATTGGACACTTCTGCATATAATAAAGCATAATAAGGTTTAATCAATGTCAAAGTCGGAAATATGAATCCCTGTCTAACTCAGGAAGGATGTAACTTGATCCGGAAAAATGTATAGTTATTCGTATCTTCAAAAAAGGAAACAATTTTATAAGCAGACAACAATAAAAAAAATATTATATGATACAGATTATATATGCATTAATTTTGTCTTTATAAAGTTTTTTATTTTTTAAAAACTTTTTTTCTATATTCTATATAAGCACAGACTGCATATAATGAATTATTAAAATACATATTTTCAACTGGTTTGCCTTTATCAAGAATGTTAAGGTTTTGGAGTAGCTGATAAAAATATTGAGTAGGGGCCTAATAAACATAATAAATAAGTGAATGAAATCTTGTAACAAGTTTTTTTAAAAAAAAATAAGACAATTCCTACTTAGGTCAACAAAGAAACATTTTATTTTAATTACTTTTTGTTAAATAGTTACCAACTAATATAAATATGTATATACATATGACAAAATCGCAATATTAAGTGACAAAATAGAAAGCGATTTTTCTTCTAATTTTTCGTTTTCCCTTTTATATATGGTGTTGGAATATTTTTTGTTTGGTTTTTGTCACTATTTCTTCATTAATTAAATTTAATTATTCTAATAAAATAGTATAGTAAAAAAGAAACATTCACAGATATTAGGCCCTCCCAGGTGAAATTCGAACCCACGACCTTTGGAATAGAAGTCCAAAGGGCTATCCATTGCTCTACAGGGACACAACAAACACGTTTCGTTTCTATATATGATGTTGGACAATTATTTTTGTTTCTTACTATTTATTCCTTTTTTTAAATTTAATTAATGAGTTAATATTTGAAAAAATTATATTGGCATCGAGTGTCATCCACTACAAGTTTAAAAAAATGTATTTGAAATTGAATGGATGGATAGAAAGTGTGTATTTTATTAACAATTTTAATTTTGAACAAGATATTTATATAGGGAGAGAGTGAACTAATAGTCGAAATTGAAAAAAAAATTATACAAATAAGGAAGTCGTGTATTCCCAATTAAAAGTAGTTGTTGTTGAGTTGTTTCCAATCCCCTTGGAGCAAGAAAGTCTACACCAAGTCCATTTGACCTTTCCGCATAATAGTGTCACACACCAGGTCTTGCTCTTCATACAACTGTCGCAGGAAAAGGCCCCAACAATCCAGAAGATGAGCAGGGACAGCTAAAGAAAGACTTTACCCTCTGCACTAAAGTCATACTACGCTGGTGACCGCTTCTAAAGCGCGCCAAGGCCGTCTGATGAGCCCTGGAACTCCTGCACTGTAGAGATAGGCCAGGACTCTTAGCTGCGTACCAGTGGTGTGTGTGTGTGTGAGTAGGAGGGTTTTCCCCAAGTCAAATTCATTTTAGTTCTTTGGAGGGAATGTATTTCCGAATGGATTAAGACAGTGGAACTGGGGTTAGAGAGATCACAACCCCTACCAGCCAGCTCATCAGCTGCTTCGTTCCCAGGCACACCCACATGTGATGGTATCCACTGGAGACGATATACTTGTTTCTTCTGACCAAGTCTAGCTAATTTGGATAAAATATCTAGACCAGTACTGACCATAATTTTTGGTCAATTCTTCAAATATTGGAGGGAGCTTCTGCTGTCTGTCAGTATCCAGATACTGCCCTTATAAGAGTTGAGAGCATGATCAAGAGCACCACTAATAGCAATGAGTTCCGATCAAAAGATGGAACAGTGGTCAGGATTCCCCTTATGTTGATTTTAACATCATTCCCAGGAGTGTTACTAAAAATACCACTCCCTGTTCTACCCGTATCCAAACGACTACCATCTGTGTAAATAATGAAGGCTTGATCGGGTATGTCATTTATTACTTCAACTGCCAGTTGTCTGAGTAATTTAATTAAATTAATTTTTAATTAAAAGTAGTAATACTAACACATAACACATCAATATTATCAGAATAGAAAACCATTATTTAGCGTTCTTTATTTCGGCAAATATAAATCCATTATTTTACTTGAAGACTTTAACAACATTATTGGAACATTAGGTTGGATTATCTCTATTTCGAGCTAGTGTTCAAATATTATTCATAATAAACAAACAAGCTGGTTAAAGTAAATAATTTATAAGAATTTATCACGTATTGACCGGTTATTATTAAAAGCTTGCAAGTAAGTTTTTGGTTATTAGTAAGAATTATTACTAACACACATTTTTAAAAAAATCATTTGTAATTATGTTCTTGTTATTCTTGTTACCTACGCCACCTGATCAGCAGTAACATCAGATCAAGGCCCACGAAATTCATCGCGGCTAAGGTCTATGGATGTTTGTAAATGTATGGTGCATTCGTGGCATGGGGGTACTTTAAATAGCCGTCGAGCCGCAAGTCCTCTCATGAGGTTAGTAGTAGGAGAAGAGAGGTCCCTTAGTGTTTAGGAAGTTCTCCCTCGAAATTGGGGTGAAACCGAGCAAAATCGTGCTGTCAACTGCATAGTGCTTAAAGCTAAGGCTAACGACAAGCGTAAAAATATAGCCCTTAACCGCAATGAATTTCGTGGGCCTTGATCTGATGTTACTGCCGATCAGGTGGTATAAGTAATAGCAACATAACTTATATGAGAACACTACCCTGTGTCCCCTATATTGTCCACATTGCTTTATTTCGGCACCATTGAAAACGGAGTCGTCTGTTCTGGGAGATCAATGACAACCCTATGAATGCATCCTTTTAGCTCCCAATCGACGGAAACTAATTCTGTTCTACATAGCAACATCAAAAGTACCCATCATAGGATATAAAAAGGCTGCAGAAGTGGCATAGGGTCGCCACCACATGTCAATGAATGTGTATGTTCACGTGTGTAGACCTCTCTCTAAATACACCAGTACTCCTCAGACTTGTCGCATTTCCTTGTTTCAAACATTTTCGTCACAGCCGGAGCACCGTAGATGCGTTTGGGAAGAGGTCAGCTCTCTCTGATTTAACGTCAGATTTTACATACGAGACAACCCACTTTTCTTAGTTGAATCACCATGCCCCTTGCAAAATTATCTGTCCGTCGGCAGTGGTGCGACAGATCTAAAATGTCTTAGTCGCACTACATGGAGGCGTTTGAAAATAAGAAACTAACTCGCTACCCTTAGATTTCAAGAATTATTCATCTTACCGCAGTTATAAGGTTTTATCTGGAACTAGCTGAAATGCCCGTTCTTTGGGCACGGGTTAAGTTTTAAAAAACATGAAATTCACTTATTACAGCAGCTATAATAATTTTAGAGAGGTTAAAACCCTGTATGAAGTATAGTATATAACCAAAAACTAAAAATATTTTTTCAAATGTGAATGTTCACATTATAAATATTTTTAAACAAATTGCAATTTAGGCTAAAAGTAAATAATAATTTAATAAAAATTAATATTTCAATGCAAGAGAGAAAATTAGCGTGCTGAAGAGTAAATAGATATAATTTTTATTTATATTTGCATTCATTCATAACAGAAAAGTGATAGCAGTAGTCAATTTCTGCTATGGGAACTATGGGTGAAATAACCTGCAATAGATAAACCGAAATAAAAAATTAATAATGATAAACTGATTCACTAAATGCTATTATAACTAAGAAATATAGGGAAGCCTTCAACTGGAAAAAAATTCAATTAGCATTACATGAGGTAAGGGTGAAATACTATCTAACATCTCTGTAATACATCTTACATATAGTATTAGATGTAATTCAATACTAAAAAAAATTAATTAGTATGATCTAACATCGAAATCTACCTAAAACAGATAAAAAAGGTCCCCGTTGAAAGAGTCCACAACCAGCACAACAGTACTGAATGAAACAAATGATAAACACTGTTGCCAAAGAATTTATTAATGAAACAATACTTTTCTGCAATATTTCTATTAAAAATCATAACTATTGCAAAGAGCAAACGAATGAGTACATACAATGATAAATAACTATAGTGATAAGTGAAATATATATATCATATATGGACAGTATGGTAACATAAAATATGCATATGATCTCCAAGAAACTATGTGAGGAACAGATCATCAGAAGCAACGTTAAACCATGATGGCATGAGACGTAAAATCCCTTCAGCACTGAATTTTAAAGAAATCCAGAGAGAAATATGAAAAAATCTTTTCAAGGTGCATCTTTTTTCTGTGCAAACATTTTTCCGATCGCAAATTATACAGTTTTCTGGTTTGCAAGATTGTCAGAAGCAAAATCATGATGAAAAGTCTGGTCAACATTGTCCAAAAGAAAGTATGAGAATACTGTTTAAAGGTGCACCTCATCCTAGTTTCAGTCAATAGCTTCTTGTGAAAAAAATATATATACTCTGATTTTTTTAATTTAAAACAAAAATGGGTTCTTATCAGTCATAGGGACCATAAGGTCAAAAACAGTAACATGCAAAAAAATATGATACGCTCTGGTTTCTCATAAATAGGAAGCATTATTTTCACAATATTATCAATGTTTTAATAGCAATTAGATTGAATTTGGTGTCATTTCCTTTCTGTTATACTTTAAGCAATATTTTACTACAATGAAGAAAACATTGAATATGTCGATGAAGGAAGAATAGCAATCTTAAATTTCATCGAAAGAAAATGGCATAGATATGTAAAACATGTAACATTTATATGTAAAAATGTATACAATATATGTGTATATATACAAACAGCATGAGGAACAGATTGTTAGAGAAAAATTACTTCGTATCCATATTAATAAATATTACTTCGCATCCATAGTTTTTTGAACAGATGATTTTTTTAGTGGGGTGAACAAATGGACATAACATGAGAATAAAAACAGGTGAGAAGTGACGGTGTAGTTTCATTGATTGTAAAAAAAAATCTTTGATATTTGTGTCATGAAAAGGTAATCATGATCTAAGATTCTGTTTTAAAAAAAGCCTCAAATTATTGTACAGCTGAAAAACGGACTTTTGAATCCTTGTATCTCATATAATTACTGTACCTACAATAATAAGCAGGGTTCTCTCTAAAGTTACAAAAGTAAATTTAATTTAAAATATTTTTCCATTATTTTACTGAACATAATATAATTTCGTATTAATTTTTTCTTTTACACACATACCGCTTCTTATAAAAATATTTCTTGAATATGAAAAACATTTTACAGACATATGTAAAATAATAAGCAAAACAAAATTAATCATACATTATTTTTGAAAAATATAAAACTGATAAGCTTTAATTTTTTTTAAAAAGTAGTTTAAAATATTAAAAAAAATAAAATAGACACTTATTAATTTCATTTGTCATGTTTTACGTTTATTTTATAAATGCCCATTTGAGTGTTAATATTTTTTGATTCTGAAAAATATGCACCATTTCTTAAAACAGCAATAGCCCATGCAACGCAAAGAAATTTCGAAAAAGTATAATCTGCTCAAGCTTGTACTTATAAAATAGAGAAAGCCTGTGCAATGCTGGGCCATACAGCTAGTTATAATATTAATTACTTTTAAATTGAATGTTGAATGCTTTTGGGAGTTCCTGTTTCCAAAATACGTGTTTTTCATGCTTCAGTTCTATATAAATCATCATGGTTATTCTAAGTAGTGTTTTTTTTTTTAATTCTCTCATCGTTCGAAATTTCTCATCACATAACGCGCACAGCCGTTTTTACTTCTCAGATGGCCTTGAAAAGGGCTGTTCTTTCAAATGCTTATCAGCCATTTTTTTTAAAATT